CGAACTAAAAATGAATAAATATGTGAAGATTAATGTCTATAATTCATGCTTAATTACAATCAGGTTTCCTGAGGGTGCAGAGCTTCTCAGTGTTTGTTGGTTTGAAATCGTTGGGAGGATCAGTACTTGCAAGCTTTCTTCAATGACACATTATAAGGCATACCTTGTGTTCAAACTGGCAGCTGGATTTTATGGATTTACAAATGAACATGTAGAAGCCACTGTCTGACTTAGTGGAACTGAAGGTTTGCAGCGAACTGTGTTTCTGCATGCAGAAGATGAAGATATACAAAATGATTACCAGTATACAGTAGAGAGGGGAGATGGTTGGCTAGAGCTAGGTGAAGATGTACAAAATAATTACCAGTACCCAGTAGAGAGGGGAGATGGTTGGCTAGAGCTAGAGTTGGGTGAATGCTTCAATGAAGGAGGTGAAGATGGCCAATTGGAAATACGAATTTTTCATTTCGATGGTAGCTGGAAAAGTGGTGCAATTATTGAAGGCATCGAAATCAGGCCAAATTAGCAGGACATGATAAGATCTCCTTCCACCTTGTGTATTTTGTGTGGGAAAACATTGCTTCTCGTGTTAAATTGGGATTGTCATGCACTAGTCTTCATTAATATACGAGTTCTACTGTTATCCAGATGCGGTCTGTGAATCTTTATTTGAACAATGTATACTAATCTGTAAGGTTAATTACTAGTTTTGATTTGATTTAAGGAAAAGCACTTTTAGGACTTAAGTCCCTGAGAAAGAGCATTTCAAGAATACTTGATTTTTCTGAATTCAGAACACAAGGTGAGTTCTATATCTGTCTAAAATCCAATGTGAGGGGGCCTTTGATCCTGAGCCCGGAAGCTGCTATTGGAGTCATTGTGAGATACTGGAGGATTAGTGGTTCGAGGACAGGTGCGATTATTATTCAATGCTTCTACTGCTCTGATTGAAGCTTATAAACTAGCTAGAATTCAAGAAAGCATAAAGAAAACACGCCAACATTACAGCAAAGACTAATTCTAAATTAGTAGTTAAAAGTTATTTCGAATTCAAACATAGCTGTGGAAATGGTACCAATAAAATAGTTATAAATGCAATGATTTGAGACACTCCATTGTTGATCGCTGATTCCAACACATTAGAAGGATTGTAAATGGAGTTACTCTGATAAATAATAATAATAAGAGGTTGCCAATTTGATTGCTTGGACATCCTGTAAGTGGATGTGCACTGTCTCTTGGAGTTCTAGGTAGGGGTGGGCATTGCTCGCCATGCTATGCGAACTACATCGTCCTGCTATGCGTCAAGTTAATCACATGATATAATAATAAATTCGTTGATTTTTATTTATAATTAGCAATTATTAATTTATCTCGACACAGTAATGATAATAGGGATCCATTAACAGAATCTTCTTTATGTAGTTTTTTAAGTTAATTAAAATTTAAAGGTATATAAGTACCATTTTTTTTAAGTTAAAAGCTTTATCTATATGTTTGGATTGAAGGGAATGGAGAAGAAAAAGAGAGAAGAAGGGAATTGTATCATTCTATTTCCCTCCATGCCCTTTCCCTTTTATCCTTTTATTTAGATAGATAAATAAATTTTAAAAATTCTTCTCATTCCCTTCCGTCTAAATCTTTTGACAACCAAATAAAAAAATTTTTCTCTTTCTCTTTTATTCCTCTCAAACCAAACAGTAAATCTAAAGTTATTTCATTCAATTTTTGATCTATCAGTTTCACTTAAAATATTTTTATTGCAAATTGATTTTTGTTTTCTAGGAGTTAAATAATACTTCAAATTTGCAAATGAAAAAATAGTATGAAATAAATTTAGCAGGTATTTGTATAGTAATGGTAGAAGATTTTATTGCCCAAAACTTTTAACAGGTAATTAATTATAGAAAAAAATATCTTGACATGATATTGGTAAAGAAAAATCGTTGCCAAAAATTATTGGCAACCAAAAAAATCACTGGGCAAGACACCCTATCACACCAGTGTCCACCTCAAATTCCAGGCCACCTTCCTCTTTGCGGGGGGAGTTTTCTAGGGATGGACTTCCTCCACAAATGGATGTTTAATTTGTACTCATTACATTTTTTTTTTCACATTTAGAATTATATATTAAACTTTATTACTTAATGAAGGTACTTGTATTGTATGAGTGAAAGTTGCCCCTATCAAAAATGTTTGTGCAATTTAGTTTTGGTCAAATTGCAGTAAACTAACCCTTAAATGAGGGTGAATTTATTAATATTAAGAGTTATTTCCTATTTGAAAATGGTAAAAAAATAATTTCCCTTAACCCACATAATAAATCTAAAGTTATTTTATTTAATTTTTGACCTAACAATTTCACTTGAAACAATTTTATTGTAAGTTGAATTTGTTTTTGGAAGTTAAATAATACTTCAAATTTGCAAATGAAAACATATTAAGAAATGAATTTAGCAGGTATTTGTATAGTAATGGTAGAAGATTTAATTGCCAAAAACTTTTAATAGATAATTAATTATATAAAAAAAAATCTTGATATGATATTGGTAAAGAAAAATGTTGCTAAAAATTATTGGCAACCAAACAAGTCACCGGGTAAGTTACCCTGTGCCACCGGTGCCCACCCTAATTTCTATAGGCCACCTTCCTCTTTGCGGGGAAGTTTTATAGGGATGGACTTCCTCCACAAATGGATGTTTAATTTGTATTTCTTACCTTTTTTTTTTCAATTTTAGAATTATATATTAAACTTCATTACTTAATGAAGGTATTTCATTGTATGAGTGAGAATTTCTTCTATAAAAAAATGTTTGTGAAACTTATATTTTGTTAAACTACACAAACTAAGTTTTAAATAAAAGTAAATATAATGATATAAAGAGTTATTTCTTATTTAAAGATGATAAAATTTAAAAACACTTCTCTTATACTCTTTTATTAATATAATTTTCTTTTTGCCCATCAAAATAAGAAAATGGGTCACACCAGCATTCCTTTAAATGAAAGGACGACTTTGGGGTTAGAAAATTAAATTTAAGGATCATTTCATGCCAAAAATTTTGAGGGATCAAAATTAGACAAAATTGATAAGTGGAAGGACCAAACCAAGCACATCAAACCTTTTCACAATTTTGTGTACCGCAGGCACTCAAATCTTTAAATTGGT